ACCAGCGCTTATAATTATTTCCATCTAAAGGCTCAAGTTTTGACAGATCAGGAAATATTTTGTTCAAAGTGGTGGACATTAGTCAATATTATATACGAAATCGCTTTCAAATTGTAAGAAAAAGGAATAGATAATATTGACTAAGAACAAGAAGGAAAGAAGAACAACTTATCAAAAATACTGTGTCGTGGCAAGCCAATGCCTTGAAAGCGATTTCGGCCCGACTAGGTACAAATCGTTAAGGCCGTCGCTCCCCAAGGTTCCACAGCACTTCCAAACACGTGCACTCGTGGTTGGAAGTTTAGAATTTGCACAAAACAGTTGCCCAGAAAGAAAAGAAGATGAAGATATTTTCTGTAATTTTAACAGAAATTAAAGAATGTTGTAGGAAGAAAAGTAATGATTAGCAAGATGGATTCTTGGTTAAGATTGGGTGATTATGATGGCTAATCCATAATTTATTTATAGGCAATTAAGGAGGTTGCATGTATGACAAGTGTCGAGAGTCTTTTGACACTTGTCCCATTATATTAATCCACTTGGCTCCAATATTGACAAGGGTATCTTTTTTTCCATGCATGAAGACATATGGTAGATTTGTATAGCCATTTGTCAAAGCCATTCAACACTTGGTTTTAATGCTTCATGCAAGAGGCCACTTAGAAATAGATAGGACATTTGAAAAATAAATAAAAAACTCATGACTATTGGTTGTAAATGAAATTTTTAAAATTTTTTTTTGACTTAGCATTATGAATAATTCCAACAGGCCCTCCCAGAAAAAGTAAAAGATGAGCCCTAATGAATGAAGAGTTTTATTCTCTCGCTTCATTTCCAGTCTCTATTTGAACGAAACCAATTAAAAGTGAAAATCAATTTTTCTCCTTTCTGTTCCATAGTTGCAAGACAAGTGTGGAGAAATGGAAGTTAACGTCTTTTTCTTTCCGATGTTTGGTTTACAAAGATAGAGACTAAATTTTTTAGTTAATTTGTAAAACATTTAAATTCTCGTTTAAACGTAAGTATGGTCAAAATGGAATAATAAAATTCTCAAGTATCATAGTATATCTTTTTTATAACGGTGATATCTAAAATATATTTTAACTCTTATCAATATAGGTATTAGTTAACTCTGTTCATCAAGATTTAAGCAAATAAAAAAAATTATCTAATTTTTTTTAATTTTCATTGAGATTTTAATTTTGATCTCCAAAATCATGAGGCGATAAATCACAATTTTCATTTACATAATTCTATCTAATTTTTTTTTAATTTTCATTGAGATTTTAATTTTGATCTCCAAAATCATGAGGTGATAAATCACAATTTTCATTTACATAATTCTACGTTATCATTTTATACTGTATATATTTCCGTTTTAACATGCCAATTAGGTTATGTCAATATCTACTTAAGTATAAAACTGTTGAGTATTGCAGTTGGGAACCATCATTAATTCACAATTTGATTTAAACAAAAAGTAAAGTGAGATAAAGAAGCAAACTTCCAAGCTTAGGAAAGTAATGACAGTACTTTTTACTTCCAAACTTAGGAAAGCAGTCTTCCATTAGAATTTAGTTATATTACTTTCCGTTTGTGAACCAAGTTCACAAGCAAAGGAAATTGAGTTGCTGATTTAATTTGCTGATCTTATGATGTTGGTGTGGAATTCAACATCAACTACGTAGATAACACGCTAGGAGTACCCTTGCGATGAAACTAACATGACATATAGACAAAACACACGACACGTGCGAAAAAAAAACAGATTGATCTAGGATTTGAAAATAATGAATAGATGCACTTAGTTAATGTAATGATCCGGCCGGTCGTTTCGAGAGTTGTAACCATGTTCCTCATTTTCTGCTCATTTTTGTGCTTTACTGATATTTTATGACTTATTGGGTTAGTTGATTCAGGTCCGAAGAGATTTCAGAGTGAATTGAGACACTTGGTCTCTTAATTGAAAACTGAAGTTGGAAAAATCGGCCGGATGTCGACTTACGTGTTAACGACCTCGGATTTGAATTTTGATGATTTCTTTAGCTCCGTTGGGTGATTCTGGACTTAGGAGTGTATCCAGATTGTGATTTGGAGATCCGTAGTAGAATTAGGCTTGAAATGACGAAAGTTGAAATTTTGGAAAGCTTGCTCGGGAGTGGACTTTTTGATATCGGGGTTGGATTCTGATTCCGAAAGTTGGAGTAGGTTCGTGCTATCATTTGTGACTTGTGTGCAAAATTTGAGGTCAATCGGACGTGGTTTGATAGGTTTCCGTGTCGTTTGTTAAATTTAGAAGTTTTAAAATTCATTAGGCTTGAATTGGTGCGATTTGTGTTTTTGATGTTGTTTGAGGTGATTTAAGGGTTCGACAAAGTTTGTGTGATGTTTTGGGACTTGATGGTATGTTTGGTTGAGGTCCCGGGGGCCTCGGGTTAGTTTCGGGTGATTAACGGATCATTTTTGGACTTAGCTTGATGGCTGAAGATTTGTTGGTGTGAATTTTCTGGTTTCCTCTTACGTGTTCGCAAGAGAGGTCTCACGTTCACGAAGGGGATCTGTTGGCAGAGGAAGTTTTGTTCTTCGCGTTCGCGAAGAAGAGGACGCGAACACAAAGGTTTGGACAGAGAGTGCATCGCGAACGCGGGAATGGTGACATGTTTGCGAAGAGGTGTTGAGGTAGCCGGGGACCCCAAGCCTTGGTCCACGCATTCGTAGGGCAGTCATTGCGTTCGCGAAAAGCAGGGTCGGCAATACTTTGCGTTCACGAGGCCGGGGTCAGGGTCGCGAAGGGTTAATTTAAGGGGCAGTCAGAATGGTCTACGCAAATGCGAGAGGACGGTCGTGTTTGCAGTGAAGGCATCACTGGGCAGTATTTAAATATTCAAAATCGAGGATTTCGGGATTTTTTTCACATTTTAAACATTTTTAGTTTGGTTTTGGAGATTTTTGAGAGGATTTTCAAGGTGATTCTTGAGGTAAGTTCCTTGGATTCATTTCTATTGAATAATTATGTTTCCCTACTGATTTTCTCACATAGTTGGTGTGTTTTTGAGGTGAAATTTGGCAGGTTTGAGGCTAGGGATTTGGAGAGTTAATTTTGGGGATTTGAAGGGCGATTTGATGTCGGATTTTAACAAATTTGATATTGTTAGACTCGTGAGTGAATGGGATTTCGGGTTTTGTAACTTTTGTTGGATTTCGAGATGTGGGCCCAGGGGTCGAGTTTGAGCCTATTTTGGATTTTGAGCTATAATTTCGTAAGTTCTTGTAGAATTGATTGTATTGTATTGCTTGTGGCTAGATCTGAGACGTTTGGAGGCCGATTCACGAGGCAAAGGCATATTAGAGTATAGTTTCACTCAGATTGAGGTAAGTAACAGTTTTAAATATGACCCTAAGGGTATGAAACCCCGGAATTTGTGTTATATGATTGTTTTGGAGGTGACACACATGCTAGGTGACGGGCGTATGGGCGTGCACCGTGGGAATTGTGACTTGGTCTATTCCATGAAACTGAAAAATTGAATAAACTTGTTGTTAGCCATATGGTCTTCATGTGTTATAGAAATTTGACAGTGAATCATATCAGAGACCATGTTTAGGCTATGTGTTGGTACTGTTGGGACCCACGGAGACCGTGTTACATGTTGAATTACCTGCTAAATGTTATTTGTACTTAGTCTCAGTTTTTATTCGCATATCATATCTCAGTCTCTATTATTCTTGTTGATACATCATATTATTGCTGTTTCGGCTGATATTTCTAATTTCTGAGAGCCTGAGAGACTGGAGAGATTTATGATTGAGTAAGGCCGATAACCTGATTGTGAGGATATTTATAGTATCGGGCTGCACGCCACAACATAGTTCATTAATTTATGCCATGATTGGCTTGATATAGCGCTTGGGCTGAAGGAGCCCCTCCGGAGTTTGTATACACTCCCCGTGAGTGCAGGTACCTACCGAGTGACGAGTGTTGAGTGACTGTGAGAAATGAGTCGCTGTGAGAAATGAGTGATTGTGAGGTTGGAGTGAATGGGAGGATTGAGTGATTGTTGTCGTGAGAGGGTGTATATGATTTCATTATTGTTGCACATAGTTTCCATCTATCACTGTTTTGAAAACTTCTAAAGATATTTTTATCCTATTTACTTGAACTTGGCATGAATAAACTGATTTGACTTAATTTGCCGGATTTGAAACCATGTCCACTTTCCTTGATGAGACTACCGAAAATGAATTATAACTGTGTAGCTCGTCACTACCTTTCAGTTCCTTATTTATTATTGTTACTTACTGAGTTGGTTTGTTTTTTGTTTTGCATTTTTCCTTCTGCATTTTATGTTCCTATTTTTCCTATGATCTCTGTGGTGAAACTAATATCCTATCCTTTTTGTTTTTCTTATTATCTTGAGCCGAGGGTCTTCCGGAAACAGCCTCTCTATTCTTTCGGGATAGGGGTAAGGTCTGCGTACATACTACCCTCTCCAGACCCCACTTGTGGGATTTTACTGGGTTGTTGTTGTTACTGAGTTGGTTGTACTCATGCTACACCCTGCACTTTGTGTGCAGATCGAGGAGTTTTTGGATGCGGAGAGTATTGATATTTCACGTAGCTGACCGTTGGAGATGTCGAGGTAGCTGCCTAGCGTTTGTAGTCTTTGTCTCTCCTTTCTTATCCCTTCTTTCGTTGTATTTGGATCCAAATTATTATAGATGTTTCATTTCTAGACTGGTTATGTATAGATACTCATGGTCTTAGTGACACCCTGATTTTAGGAGCTATTTTTGCACTTTTATTTTGGGTTTTACCCCTGTCTATGAAAATTTTCCCTATTTAAAATGTCTTGATTAACTTTTCTGTTAAATATTGGAAGTATTTTGGAAATGACGGCTTGCCTAGTACCATCGATATGCGCCATCACGACAGGTTAGGATTTGAGTTGTGACAGTTAAATTCAAAATGAGTTATAGATCGTTGGCACATGCACAATATAGAGACAAAAAATATCTTGGCACTAAGTTTCAATAAATATTTTTTACTATTTAAACTCATAATTATAAAATTACAATGAGCTCAGCAATAGCGTCTCAATAAAATTCGTGGCCTGAAGCCACATTATTGAGGCCTAGAATTTTTTAATAGAATTTATATATAGATATACACATAGAAAAGAATTTTAATTTTGGCTGGTTCTTTACATGGTGCAACAAACAACATGAAGATAAAAGGGTGTATAGCAAGATAGATTGGGCAATCAGAAACTATGTGTGGCTGCAACAATATAGCCACATAGAAGCTGAGTTCATGGATCCAGTAGTGTCTGATCACTCCCCAATCCTCATATCAGTCAACATAAGAAAGGACTGCACCCTAAGCCTTTCAAACTTTACAAAAATGACATGGAGCATCCAGAGTTCAGGAGCATAGTGCAAGAAGTATGACATCAAGGAACTCAAGAAGAACCCATGAACAAAATCTGGAAGAAATTGAAGAACTCTAAAATGGACTTAAAGACCTGAACAAATATATGGTTTTCTATCAGCAGAGACTTGATCAGGCTAGACAGAAACGAGAGATAGTACAGGGGGAACTCAAGAATTTTCCTCTAGAACAGAGCTTGTTCAATCAGGAAAAAGAAATCTTGACAGAAATGGAAAAATAGAGTCATATAGAAGAACAGGTATTACAGCATAAGTCAAGGGCCACTTGGATTGAATGTGGTGACTCAAATACAAAATACTTCCATGCTCAATAAAAAATGAGGACAAGCAGAAACCACATTGCATCCATATACAATGCAAGTGGTATTAAGCTAATAGATCCAGTCCAAATAGAAGAGGAGTTTATCTCTTTCTTCGCCAACCTTATGGGAGAAAGTGGAGAAACTCATAAATGTCTAGATGCCGCAGTGGTTAGACAAGGGAGATGCCTTGACCAACAATATAAGGAGGCACTGATTAAGAATGTAACTAATGAGGAGATCCTAACTGCTATAAAAGATATGCCTCATGACAAAGCCCCAGGGGTAGATAATTTTCCAATTGAGTTCTTCACAACACAATGGACTATACTTGGGTTTGAAGTATGTGCTGCAGTCAAGGAATTCTTTGAAACAGGCAAAATGCATAGAAGAATGAATTGTACAACAGTCACTATTATTCCAAAAGTGCCAAATCCCAGCCAAGTAAATGAATTCAGACCTATAGCTTGTTGCACCACTCTATACAAGATAATAACCAGAGTAATCACCAACAGAATAAAGAGTATAATAGGAGATCTCATTGGGAAGTCACAATCATCCTTTATTGAAGGAAGAAGCATTGCAGATAACATCTTGTTTACTCATGAGTTATTCAAAGGATGTAACTGAAAAGGGATCTCCCTAAGATGTGTTTTAAAAGTAGACTTCATGAAAGCTTATGATACTTTAGATTGGAGTTTCCTTGAAAAAATGGTACTAGAGCTTGGATTTTCTTATAGATTTGTCAGTTGGATAATGGAATGCATCACCACAGTGACCTACTCCCTCAACATGAATGGAGGACTGACAAAACCATTTCAAGGAAGAAAAGGCATTCGACAAGGGGACCCTATGTACCCTTATTTATTTGTCATAGCCATGGAGTATCTATAGAGGGAACTGACACCGCTGGCAAAGAATAGGAACTTTAAATTCCATCCTAGATGTAAGAAACTGGGAGCAATTCACATTTGTTTTGCGGATGACCTGTTGATGTTCTATAAATCTGACATTACATCCATCAAACTATTGCAACAGACATTCCTCAAGTTCTCTACCTCATCTGCCTCCAGGCCAATGCAGAAAAAAGTTCCATCTACCTAGCAGGTATCTCAGATAGCACAAAGCAAGACATTATGTAAGAGTTGGGATACACTGAAGGTACTATGACATTTAGATACCTAGGTGTACCACTAGCATCCAAGAAGCTGTCTATTATCCAATGATGGCCATTAATAGAGAAGATTACATAGAAGATCAACTGTTGGACATCCAAATTGCTTTCATATGCTGGTGGCTCCAGTTAATTAAATCAGTCTTGTTTGGGGTACAATCATACTGAGCTCAAATCTTTCTGCTGCCTAAGAAGATATTGAAGATGATTGAAATCATGTGTAGATCATTTTTATGGTCTGGCACATTAACTATCACCAAGAAAGCACTAGTTGCTTGAGACAGAGTATGCTGGCCACAAGCTGCAGGTGGCCAAAATGTAATTAACATGTACTACGGGAACAAAGTAGCAGTTGCAAACCTGCGATTACAATGAAGAAGGACAACTTATGGATCCGATGGGTTCACACATTCTACATAAGAAATAGGACAGTGGAAAGTAGTCCAATACCAAAGAATGCTGCTTGGGTGGTCAGAAAGATAATGGAGACAAGGAACCTTATTCTTGAATTACATGGGATTCATGGGGATCTGGTTAACAAACTTGTCCAACTACAAAAAGGAGGGAAGTTCAGTATAAGCAAGCTATACCACATGCAGCTTCCTCAACTACAAAAGGTACTTTGGAAGAGTATCACTATGCAACCTCATATGCACCCTAGGTATAAATTCATACTATGGCTGGCACTACAGAAGAGATTAGCAACAATGGACAGACTCATCAAATTTGGAGTTCAAGTGTCCCAGCAATGTGTTTTCTGTAAGCAATCTGATGAACTATTTAAACACTTATTTTTTGACTGTCCAATAGTAAGAGAAATATGGACTAGGCTACTCAAATGGTTAGGCCATACTAGACCTATTCAGGCTTGGTAAGATGAGGTCCAATGGATTAACAGAGGTGCAAAAAAGAAATCTGGTCACTAGGCAATTGTTACATGTGTATTTGGTGTGCTGGTGTACACAATTTGGAGGGAAAAGAATGTGATTAGATTTTAAGGGGGAGTACTCAAAAAGAACAGTATCTGTAGAGAGATTGTAATGCATATACATACCAGAGGGAGGACAATCAAGAGCTGGCAAGGAGCACTGCAACAATTAGACTATTTTCCACTAGGCTCTTAGACTTGCAGTATGTAGAATGCTTCTATTTTTTCTATTCTAGTGAAGCTTTAAGCTGATGCAAATAGAAATACAATAGAGATATCATTAGAGCATCATACTTAGTGTAGATAGAAGATAGAGACATATATGGTCAGCATCTACCTAATTTATAAAGCTATTTTTTTGAAATGAATAGAAAGTCACTATTTACCAAAAAAAAAGGAATTTTAATTTTCTTTTTTTTGTTACTTTTTTTAATCATATAATCTATATATTATTAAAATGAGAGGAAAAAGTCATCTACTTAAGTCAAGTAGCAGCCTTAAAATTAGCCACATGTAACATATTAACTAATTAACTACGGTAATAAATACTTCAGCCATATGGCATAACTAAAAAAATCTACATATAACTTATTTCTTAATTAATTAACAAAATTAAAGTTTTACTAGATAAAGAAAAATAATAATTGGATAACAAATTAAAATTTTAATAATACAAAGTAAATGTCTCATGTAGGTAATTTGGTAACGTAAATAAAAGTTAAATTTGTATCCTGAAACTAAAAGAGAAGGAGAATTTAATTGCACGTGATATAAAAATAATTATAAAAAAATATAAAGTTTAAAATATGATAATTAAAAAACTTATGTATTAATATTTTAGACTAATTCAAAGTTAGAACATAAAATAAAATGTGGTACTACATATGTTGATTATTGGTAAATATTAACATAAAAAGATTAATTAAAATTTCATAATAAGGAAAAAAGATATAAAGAGAAAAATAGAGATAGTGTGAGAATATTTATACTTTGAATTAATCTAAGTATAAGTATATTAAATTATTAAATAATATTCAAAAATATTATTGATTAATTTAAATGATGAAAGAGCTCTGAGTAAGAGGATAAAAGTATAAAAATACATTAAATTTTAGGAATAAAAAATTATATTTATATGATTGTCAAAAGGATAATAAGCAAGATATTAAGTCAACTAGTACGCTAATAAAAGATCTCATAGCAATATAACAATATTAAGTAATGAATAATGTAAAAACTATAAACAAAGATTAAAGAGAGATATTTTTTTTTGGAGAAAATGTAGAAGGATAACACTTATTTAATTTTGAGGTAAAATACAAAGTGGTAGTAAGAATTTTGTTAAAACAATATTGTCAAACAAGACCATGGAATAAAATGCAACTATTAAGATAAATGGGTTGGGTTGTTATAGATATAAAATAAAATAAAAACATGTTATCTTATACGAGATATGAGAAAGAGTTTCATGTCATGCTTCTTAATTGATATCTAATGATTATATATAATTTTTATTTGGAAGGTTTAAATTTTAAATAATTAGCATATAATCCAAATCATAATTTGATATTTGTGTCCGCACATAATACGAGTACTAATACTAGTATTCATGCAATCGTATAGTGATATAATTATTTATATTGGTAAGAGTTAAATCAAGTTAGCAAGATGTTAGCCATATATTTGCAATATATACCATCGATCTTGTTGTAAAATTTTTTATTGGCTAATATGAAGGGTTGAGTAGTTTAATTTGATGTTCTAAGATTATAAAATCTACAATTAAAATATTTTGGGGCCCCAGAATTTTGGGGGCCTTTGAGTTTGAGCCACCCTTGAAGCTAGTTACTGAGAACATTATAGACATTTTGAGATCCGCCTTTATTTAAGATGAGAAAAAACATACTGTAAAGTGTAAAAACACACAAGTTTTCTTTTGAAACATAGGTAACCCCTCAATGTTGAAAAATTATTAATATAACCACCTAATATGTTTTACATATGAACTCGTGTCCCAGCTGATAGCCTGAGTCCTGAGAGAACAAAAAATGCTAATAAGTGCATTTGGAAATAAGGTTATATTGATATTGAATTTAATTTTTATTTCTTAAAACCATATATTAACATACTGTTTTACTTATCTCCTCTGATCCTTTATGTACGGAAAAATTAAAAAGAGAGGCGCAGTTGAAAGGAATTGACAACTGATAACGGCCAATACAAATATGGAAACAAACAGTTACCGCCAATTTCGCTATTTCCTTTCTCAGATTAACTTTCTCTTCCAAATTTCCATTTCCTCTCCATTTTCTATTCCATTTTTTCAATTTCTCCGACGACTCTCCGGCGTCGTATGGCTGCCGTCCGTTTATCTTCGTATAATAAAGGTAACAAGTACACAATTTGACATTTCTATTGTTGTAGTTGCCTTTGTAATGAAAGAATTAAGTCGTCTTAATTATGCATGCATTTTGTTTGTATATAATGTGCAAGTAATTCATTTTCTGAATTCATACTTATTTGGCCACATTTTTAGTTCTTTACTTTTGGGATAATAATGCATATTGTTAGCTTGTGATTATTTGTTATATTGAAAGTTATTAGGACTAAAGATTGCTTTATTATGTATCAGAAAAAGGAATCTTTAAGGTTGCTATTAACATTAGATCTTGAAAAGATTAGAGTTGTCTACTTCTAGCAACTTGTGTTTACACCAAACAAATGAATGCAATATGTCTTTTATACACACTTAGCACTTAATCATGGTTAAGTGATATATATTCCACATTTATCTATAACTGCTAAATTTGGCATAGACACCGAGTTTAGACATATATTTACTATCCTGTTGGTGTCGTCTTATTCCATCAAATGATCTCTCTTCTGTTTCTACTCATGTAGTACTAATTTTTGTTGTCATAGTTGTGGCTATTTTCTGTAATGATTCCAAGGTTTTCTATCCTATTACGGTCAACAGCTACTGCGCCTCAATCTAATACAGTCACACCTCTCTATAACAACATCCCTATATAATAACTATTTTCTACAAAAGCCACGTTTTTTCGGAACCGATTTTAACATTATGTTATAATATATGTTTTCTATAACAACACTTCACTATATCAGCCAAAAAATATCGGAACAAACGAGGCTGTTATAGAGAGGTTTGACAGTACATCGTATTACCAAGACCCAGAAGAGTAAAATTCTTAGTGACAAAAATTTCCTTTTTCTTTTCAAAGAATAGTTAATTTCCTTACCTAGAATGGTTATATAAGTTTTTGATTTTCATGCGCCATAGTTAAGGCATTTTCCGGTGGATTCATACCCTTGCATGTTTGAATGAACTTATTGATTTCTTTCATCCTATTCTTTTGACAGATCTCCTACTTTGAGCTGAGGAACTCAGCTTGTTGGATGCATGGGATGGCTGTTTTAGGTTGCCAATTGGATTGAAATCAGATTTACTTCAATGTACATATCATTTCATTAACATGGTCAGATATTTGTAGTATAGGCAGGAGAGTTAGTAGATGGTTGGATATTTGTAGTATAGGCAGGAGAGTTAGTTTGCTAAATGAGATGAGGAAATTCTTGCGGCCAATAATTGTTGTTCTGTTGTTCAGAGTTAACTGGAGGAAACTGTTTGTTATAGGCACTATTTTAACAGTGTTTAGGGTCATTTTTCAAATTTCCACACTCCCTAATCCTTTGACTGAATGGGTTGTATCTCCACCCTTGGATGTTTCATCTTACCAACACTTAAATCATGGAAAAAATTCGAGGGAACTTTCAGTGACATCAGATAACCAGTTGAAAATGAGTAGGCATTTGCCCACAGTTGTTTCACTCCAATCTACAGCCACAACAAACCGATCAATGCGAGTTCTGGAAAGACGAGAAAGACTTCTTAGGCGTAGGAGACATAGGAAGCATGCACGCTCAGTACAGAAGATTATTTATCCACCTCCACCTGTTGTGCCCGATCACTTGCAGGTAAGTCTGATAACGTGCTTATATTCCTCAGGAGCGATTAGTAAAGTCATTCTTCCTTCTTGCTATCTTGTTTTTAAATCTAATGTAGTTATCTCCAGAGATTTATAGCTTCTTTGACACCAAATGAGGCACTTGCATATGCTAAAAGTGAGATTGAGAAAGCCCCTCTGCTCACCAATGATACAGACTTGTATGCTCCGCTGTTTAGGAATATTTCCATCTTTAAGAGGTACGTCGGGTTATAATTGATTAAATAGCTCTTTATCTTTTACAATGTTACTCAAGGGCTGTGTTGTGCTTTTGTGATGGTAGAGTTACCTTTAACCACTCATCTCTTTGCCTATCTGTGGTGCAAACAAATCACAAACGTTTTCTTCTCTCAGCAACTACAGCCTAATAAAAGCTTTATATAGTATTTTACATATTGACATCTCTTTCATAATTGTTCTTTTTGATTAAGCACAAATTTTGATTTGACATTCAAGGAGTTACGAGTTGATGGAACTTTTACTCAAAGTTTACATTTACAAAGAAGGAGAGAGACCTATTTTCCACGAACCACATCTTATGGGAATTTATTCTTCTGAAGGATGGTTCATGAAATTGATGGAGGAAAACCGTTACTTTGTCACTAGGGACCCAGAAAAGGCTCACCTATTCTATCTGCCATATAGCGCACGTCAGTTGCAGCTGGCACTTTACGTACCTAACTCACATAATCTTAAGCCGTTGTCAGTATTCCTGCGCGACTATGTCAATATGCTAGCTGCAAAGTACCCGTTCTGGAATCGCACACATGGAACAGATCATTTTCTAGTTGCTTGCCATGATTGGGTATGCATCAACTTCTTTTATAAATATAATCTTGGCTGTATAGTATCCTTTGATTTCTTACGACGATGTGCATTACCAATTGTTACAGGGGCCTTACATTTTAAAAGAACATGAGGAGCTAATTAGAAACACTATAAAAGCTCTCTGCAATGCAGATATATCTGAAGGAATATTTAAAGCTGGGAAAGATGTTTCCCTTCCGGAGACTGCCATAAGGAATGTGGAGAAGCCGCTTAGAAATCTTGGTGGAAAAAGAGTGTCACAACGCCCAATTCTGGCCTTTTTTGCTGGAAATATGCACGGTCCAGTCCGTCCCAAACTTCTCCAGTACTGGAGTGACAGAGATGAAGACATGAGGATTTACGGGCCTCTACCCAATAGAGTCTCAAGAATTATGTCTTATCCTGAACACATGAAATCAAGCAAGTATTGTCTTTGTCCAATGGGTTTCGAAGTGAACAGCCCAAGGATCGTCGAGGCAATATACTACGAGTGTGTTCCAGTGATCATTGCTGATAATCTTGCCCTCCCATTTGACGAAGTGCTCGATTGGAGTGCTTTTTCTGTGGTTGTTGCTGAGAAAGATATTCCTAAGCTGAAGGAGATTTTGTCAAGTATATCTCTCAGACGGTATTTGGTCATGCAAAATAATGTCAAAAAGCTGCAGAAGCATTTCCATTGGAACTCAATACCTACTAGATATGATCTGTTCCACATGATTTTGCATTCCATTTGGACTAGCAGGCTCAACCAGCTTCAAGTATCACAGATATCATAATCCCTCTCGTTCAAAGTTCTCTCAACTTGCCCGTCTACTCGATAGAACAGCAATATGAACCATAAGGGCTCTTTTTGACATTTATAGGCCGATATTTTGAGGATTGCTGGTGACTAATTCTCTTCGCTTGTGCACTCTTGAAATGATATGAGGTACTGAAAGCTTTTGCCACTTCAGTAGAAATAACACAAATGAACATAGCTTTATTGATAAGACCAATCTCTTTCTGATGGCAGAGGTTTCATCGATTGGTTATTCCTGTCCATGCGTATCTCTTTTCTAACTTCAGTCTCTGCTGCGATTCAGGTAGTACTCAACAGAGGTGCAAGGCTTACAGGTCCCAAGTTTTGCACATGCACATTACAACCGGAGGAGAAAAGATATTGCAGTTTAGACTGTCTCATGTCATCAGCATTTTCACACATTCTCTCTATTTTCACAGTTCCTGAGCCGAGGATCTATCGGAAACAGCCTCTCTACCCTCACATGTTAGGGGTAACACGTTAGGGGTAAGGTCTCTGTACACACTACCCTCCTCAGACCCCACTTAGGGATTTCACTAGATTTGTTGTTGTTGTTCCCTATTTTCACAAGGTTTCCGCTGAAGTTGAATTTTCTTCAGTATAAACCAAGTTATCCGTAGATGATGCTTGATTTTTATTTTCCAGAAGATACTCTTTGAAATGAGCTGGGAGTTCATTCTCATACAATTCTAAAGTTATAGTAGTATATATAGAAAATGAATTTACATTTTTGTATAATGCTCTAATGTCCTACACACCAGACCCCACACGTGGTATTATACGGGTTGTTGTTGCTCTAATGTCCTACACAATAAGTCCGGAGAATATGCATCTAGTTGGTAATTGTATTGAATACAATGTAGAATATTCAAGTATACCAGGGAGAGAAATTCCCATATACTTTTCTGCTGTGAATATATATGTACAGTGTATATTTTTTCAGTAATTACAAGAACAAATAGTGATTTCTACATTTCTGCCCTATATTAGTAGAGTTTAAGTTTTATGCACTGTGTAAAATACCAATCAGGTGTTGATCACATGTAAATCTGTATTACAACTACTAAAACCAGTAACCTGGTAAAATGACTTGCTATTGCAAGTTTAACTGCACTAATATCCGTTTCACCTACTTAGATGCTACTCAGGGGCGAATGCAGCTCACTGTCACTGGGTTCATCTGAACTCAAAACTTTCGGCGCAGTTTATAAATTTATGTGTAATAAATCACGAAAAATGCAACAAATAGTAGATATGAAGCCATAAGTACGTTCTAGTTCTGATTTTGAAAACACTAGCTCACGTTGATACAAACGTGATACGACTTCGTCAACTTTTTTTACTAAATTTATATGTTAGATAATAAAAAAAATATACGGGGTAAAATATAACAATGACACCGCTTATAGTAATTTATTCATTTGTTCGTCTTTTCAAATAGTGACACCGCTTTTACACCTAAGAGGCCAAGGTTTTTTTGCCTATAAAAGGGAAGGCCATTAGTTTATTTCAGACACACCAACAAGACTTGAGTCTTCATTTCTTGTTTCTTCTTTTCGTCCTTTATTAAGAGAGTTTTATATGAAAGTTAAGTGTTGGGAAGCACTTGTGTGAATCCTTTTTTTGGAGTGATCTTGTGAGGTTATTCTCTTGGGGGTATTTGGAATTAATTAGAGTATTTACTCTATTTTGTACTATCTTTTGTACTCTTATTGGTATAGTGAAATTGCTCCTCTCCGCTTGTGGACGTAAGTCACTTTAACTGAACCACATTAAATTGGTGTCTTCTTTATATGCTTTAATTGTCGTTGTTATCAACTTCCATTGTCTTTGTTATTGTCATTATAACGTTGTTTGGCTAAATTTCGCACTACCCGGGCTCCCGATCTTAACAAATTGGTATCAGAGTCGGATCTAACCGGGTTTGTTTCAGTAGCCAATATGACTTTAATAAAGACTTATGTTGACCGAAGTGCAAACTTCGGAATGTGGCAATTAAAGATGAAAGCTATCCTAATTCAGGATGGCTTAGACTTGGCATTGCAAGGAAAGGAGAAGAAGCCGGATAAAATAACGGACGAGGAGTTTGCCGTCATAGACAAAAAAATAAAATAAGGTATCATCTTAAATCTCTCAAATGAGGTTTTACGTGAAGTTTCAGTAGAAACCACAGCCAAAGGCATGTGGGAAAAATTGAAAACTTTATAAATGAAGATGACGATGGAATTAGACTTTGCCTGAAGTAGAAGCTTTACACAATTCGTATAGGTAAATGTACCTCTATTCTCTCTCATTTTGACATCTTTAATTGCATTCTTATGGATTTGAGTAATATAGATGCTAAAATTAAAGATGAGGATCAAGCCGTGTTACTGCTTTGTTCTCTACCCCCATCCTTTAAGCATATAAGAGATTATGCTTTATGCAAATGATAACATCTCTTATAAGGATGTTAAATCTATCTTAAAATCAAAGAACAAATAGATAGTGATATTACTGGGGAAGCCAGTGGAACACAAGCAGAAGTTGGCTTGTTTGTTAGGGGTAAATCTGACTCAAAATCCAGATACAATAATTTAGACTGTTGCTATCGTCATAAGAAATATCACATTATCTCCGAATGCAATAAGCTAAAAAAAATAAAGAAAAGCATAAGGAAAGGAAAAATGAGCACAAAAATACTGACACTGCCGAAGCAAGTGTAGCTGCTGATGTGACTGAGGGAACTATTTTTTTAGCAACTAATAGTAGTTTCAAATCTAACAATGAGTGGATTATAGATTCGGATTGTTCTTATCATATGTGTCACAATCCAGATTTATTTACCACATATGAATCTATTGGAGGCGGAGTTGTCTTAATGGGCAACAATGTTGCCTGCAAAGTTCTTGGAAAAGGTACAGTCCGAATCAAAATGCACGATGGTGTGGTGAGAACTCTCACCGATGTTAGACATGTTCCTGGCTTAAAGAAAAATCTCATCTCTTTGGGCACTCTAGAATCTCTTGGGTGCAAGTACACATGTGAAGGTGAAGTTCTGAAAGTTTCTCATGGTGCTCTTGTGATCATGAAAGCACACAGATCTGGTTATTGTATACTTTATTGGGATCCACTGTTATAGGCCCTACTACAATTTCGGTATCAGACAACTTATCTGATTTTGATGGCATTAAATTTTGACATATGCCCATTGGGGGTTTTGCAGAGAGAGTGGAGCAAATTTACTATATCAGCCAAAATTAGGCCAAGTGGAGATTTATAATTATGGCCAATTTTTTTGCTAATGGAATCCATCTCACATAAGTATAAGCATCTTTGCAAAGTATAAACTTTGTTGGCAATATTTTTTGGGATCCTAAAATATTTCATTGTTTGGTGGACATCATTTGCACAAGTTGTATCTCTTCTTTTTTTATTTTCACCTAAGAGGCCAAGGCGTTTTTTCTTATAAAAGGGAAGACCACTAGTTCATTTTAGAAATATCAACAAGACTTGAGTCTTTATTTCTTGTTTCTTCCTTTCCTCCTTTATTAAGAGTGTTTTTATGAGAGTTAAGTGTTGGAAAACACTTGTGTGAACCTTTTCTTTAGAGTGATCTTGTGAGGTTATTCTCTTGGGGTATTTGGAATTAATTAGAGTATTTACTCTAATTTTATACTCTCTTTTGTACTCTTATTGGTATAGTAAAATTGCTCCTCTCTGCTTGTGGAGTAGGTCACTTTGACCGAACCACGTTAAATTGGTGTCTTCTTTATATGCTTTAATTGTTGTTGTTGTTAGCAATTTCCATTGTCTTTGTTATTGTCATTATAACGTTGTTTGGCTAAATTCTGCACTACCCAGACTCCCGATCTTAACAAATTGGTATCAGAGCCGGATCTAACCGGGTTTGTTTCAGTAGCCAATATGACTCTAACAAAAACCTATGTTGAGAAATTTGACCGAAGTGCAAACTTCGGAATGTGTCAATTAAATATGGAAGCTATCCTAATTCAGGATGGCTTAGACTTGGCATTGCAAGGCAAGGAGAAGAAGCCGGATAAAATGAAGACGAGGAGTTTGCTGTCATAAACAAAAAAAGCAAAATCAGGTATCATATTAAATCTCTCAAATCCACAGCCAAAGGCATGTGGGAAAAATTAAAACTTTATATATGAAGAGGACGACGGAAAATAGACTTTACCTGAAGTAGAAGTTTTACACAATTCGTATGGGTGAAGGTACCTCTATTCTCTCTCATCTTGACATCTTTGATTCTATTCTTATGGATTTGAGTAATATAGATGGTAAAATTAAAGATGAGTATCAAGCCGTGTTACTGCTTTTTTCTCTACCCCCATCTTTTAAGCATATAAGAGATACTATGCTTTATGCAAAGGATAATATCTCTTATAAGGATATTAAATCTATCTTAAAATGAAAAGAACAAATAGATAGTGATATTACTGGGGAAGCTAGTGGAACACAAGCGAAAGTTGGCTTGTTTGTTAGGGGTAAATCCGACTCAAAATCTAGATACAATAATTTAGAATGTTGCTATTGTCATAAGAAATGTCACATTATCTCCGAATGCAATAAGCTGAAAAATAAAGAAAAGCATAAGGAGAGGAAAAATGAGCACAAAAATATTGACGCTGCCGAAGCAAGTGTAGCTGCTGATGAGACTGAGGGAACTATTTTTTTAGCAACTAATAACAGTTTCAAATCTAACAATGAGTGGATTTTAGATTCGGGTTGTTCTTATCATATGTGTCACGATTGAGACTTATTTACCATATATAAATCTATTGGAGGAGGGGTTATCTTGATGGGCAACAATGTTGCCTACAAAGTTCTTGGAAAAGGTACGGTCTGAATCAAAATGCATGATGGTATGGTGAGAACTCTCATCGATATTAGACATGTTCCTGACTTAAAGAAAATCTCATCTCTTTGGGCACTCTAGAATCTCTTGGGTGCAAGTACACATGTGAAAGTGAAGTTCTGAAAGTTTCTCATGGTGCTCTTGTGATCATGAAAGCACATAGATCTGGTTTGGTGTATTCTTTATTGGGATCCACTGTTATAGGCCCTACTACAATTTCGATATCAGACAACTTGTCTGATTTTAATGGCATTAAATTTTGACATATGCCCATTGAGGCTTTTACAGATAGAGCGGAGCAAATTTACTATATCAACCAAAATTAGGCCAAGATGGAGATTTGTAATGATGACCAATATTTTGGCTATTGGAGTCCATCTCACATAAGCATAAACATCTTTGCAAAGTGTAGACTTTGTTGACAATATTCTTTGAGACCCAAAAATATTGCATTGTGTGGTGGACATCATTTGCACAAGTTGTATCTCTTCTTTTACACCTAAGAGACCAAGGCATTTTTGCCTATAAAAGGGAAGGCCATTAGTTCATTTTAGACACATCAACAAGACTTGAGTCTTCATTTCTTGTTTCTTCCTTTACTCCTTTATTAAGAATGTTTTGTATGAGAGCTAAGTGTTGGGAAGTACTTGTGTGAACCCTTTCTTTGGATTTATCTTGTGAGGTTATTTTCTTGGGGTATTTGAAATTAATTAGAGCATTTACTCTAATTTTGTACTCATGTTGGTATAGTGAATATGTTCCTCTCCGCTTGTGGACGTAAGTCACTTTGACCGAACCATGTTAAATTTGTATCTTCTTTATATGCTTTAATTGTCATTGTTATCAACATCCATTGTCTTTGTTATAATCATTATTCGTTGTTTGGCTAAATTTGATACTACCCGGGTTCCCGATCCTAACATGCACATTAAAGCTTATAGCTTCAGCTAAGAGCAAGAACAATATCAAAACTGAGTCGAAGCAATCAACGCCGCAAACAAAGGTTGTTATATCTATACTCCATGTTGCACAAGAT